AGAGCCACAAAATACAATTATGAACCTGGAAAGGGGCATATTATATCTCCTTTAAACTATACACCAAGTATGAAAATATGTACATCAGTGTTGTCAGTAGTAGAGATTGTGTGTGTGTGGTGTAGGAAAAAAGGTTATGCGAAAAACAAATCTAAGTAAACCCAAAATACAAACAGACCAAGAACCTGCTGGCTGGGAGGAGAGAGACATAACTATCAGCTCCCTATATAGCCTAGCTATCAGGGAGCAAGTTAACTCAGGTGTCGCTCATCCACAAGCCACAACCCTGCCACTCTGTCTCCTGCACAGAAGAAGGGGAAACAACCAGAGTGGGAGAGGTCATCATAATCCTAACCCTAATTACGCTGTTTCATAAATGCATCACAACTTTCTGCATGCTGGTGCCCCTTTTTATCTTTGTCACCCGTGCCCCTCACACAGTCCACCACTGTCCATACATTATGTTGCAGTTTACTGTCAGGCAGAATCCGAATCAGGTTTATCGCCAAGTAGCACCAAGGAATTTTTGCCTTGGTAAGTTGGTGCATTACAATTAAACATAAAAATATAAATAGATAGAAAGATAAAAATAGAGACAATATGTACAATATGGCCAGATACTTAAATATGTGAAATGTGCAAAAACTTGTCAGAGAAATCTGCAAGTTAGCGGTGTGCAATGTGCAAAGATAAAAAAGTGCATTATTGTAACATATAGCTTCAGGGTGGGTGGTTATTTTAAGAGTCTGTGTCAGTGGGGTTCCCAGAGCTTTTGATAAGGTTAGCTGCAGAAAACAGTTCTTTTGGCGGGAGGTTTGCCAGAGGGAAGTGTCTCAAACAGTTATAAGCCAAACAATTCCTTGTCATTCCTTTGAACGTTTCGGGTGTAGTAAATATAGCCTCCAGGTAACGTGGTTTCAGCCTTATCCATGATATCCATTCACCTGTCTACTAAAGGTTCCCAACCTTATTCCTTAAGGGAGCTATTTTCTGGTATTGAACAAACTGACAGTGACATATTTCATGGCCATTTGATATAAATAGACAATAAACCCAAACAGTGAACACAATAACTACAGGAAGTTTGTGTCAATATTGACCAGAAATGAGTTTTCCTGATATTTGTAGCAATTTTTTATCTGATTCTCTGTCTGTATTATATATATTTTTAAAAC